GCTTCCTCTTGGAAGTCTTCTGGATGGAGGATCCTGTGGTGCCAATGACCCCAGGCCTGAAACCAATTCGAGGGACATATGCAGTGGAGAGGTTGGGAACAACTGCTTCGATGATGTGCGCACATTGGCACGTTCACTATGGCACAAACGACACTGCGCATGTGCACTGCCACCCTGGGTACTGCTGCTAAAAGGTTCCAATTATAAACGCAGGGGCCTGAGACACCGACAGTGGAGCGCCCACAGGAACACTGCTTGAAGAAGAACTTACCTTACTTAACTTTAAGTCAATAAGACACCACAGTCAATTGTGCATGCTTAAGTACTTTCCTAGACCAGGGCCTAGGTCAGAAATTGTCACTGAAACTCATTCTGGTGGCAATGTCTGCTCTTTCTCTCTTCACCTTTTAGGGGCTTTGATACTGTCCCTGATGTTGGCAGATGACCAATATCTTGTAGCAGGTCTTATGTTATGAATTTGTTCCCTCAGGAATCTACTTTTGCCCATTACTCTCCATTAAAAAATGGTTAAAGAAATTCCTTTTGCAAAGTGTTATCAGTCTATTGTTAATTAGGCTGTTTTAGGATTTATCTATTTTCCTATTATGAATGTTGTTAATAGAGCACCTTGACCACTTAGAGAGGGCAATATTTTGATAGGACAAAAGTAAGGTCTTCTTTATTTGAGTTTCAGGCAGCATCTCATTGCATTACTGAAGTTGTTGAATGAAGGTAAGTTCAATCCCTAATATTTAGATCCATATTCCTCCAATAATTGGGGTAACAGGACACATACTGGAGAACTGTGTTGGTGGATTGATTTCCATGATGAGTCCTTGACTCCAGAATCTACTCCTTGATCTAAAGTAGACCAGATCTGTTGACCTTCAGGACACACTGCAAAAGGTAGTTTATTTTCCCAGGTGTTTTCTTAGGAATCCTGGCAGGACTAGGGCATGCCCCGCTTCCTCCCCACCCTCTAGGTCTGAAAACTCAAAATGATCCAAGAATCAACATGGGCTTTTTATAAATAACTAGTAATTGAGGAATGGAATAGCCAAATTAGGCTCTCTCATAAACTTGTATAACCTCACTGCAGATCCTCTATTAGGCTGAATTAGCATTCACACAAATATTTTATTACTTGCAAATGAAGCATATTTGATATGAAAACCAGGGAGATGAAATGAATACAAATTCCACAATGGCACTGTTACAAAGTTACCTCTTAAAACAGAAATACATTTCAAAGCAGATTGAAACTTGATAACAGCCTTCTGTTGTACACTTATAATATCAGCATTATAGATGGTACTATTTTGTGAATAAGATGAAGCCCCCTCCAACAGTAAAAGGTGCAGAGAGAGACAGTGATGGATCACACTTTCAAAGATATTTAGGCACCTAAAAATGTAGATGGATGCCTAGAATGATTTTCTCAAAAGACTCAAGATTCTAACTCCCATTCATTTAAATGACAATTGGTGTCTGACATGGTTAGAAACTTTTGAAATCCCCATTAGGCATGTATCTTCATATTAAGCCACCTAAATGCCTTTTAAAATCTGGCCCCTATGACCTCACATACTCTTAAAGGAAAAGTCTCATTTTGCTTAACCTAGCAATCTGAGCCCTGGTCTAGACTAGGGAGTTATTTTGAAACAACAAGTGGTGCATCCACACTACCAAACCTGTTATTTTGAAATAATGGGTTGGTTACTTCAACATAATAACTCCTGCTTTCCATGAGTAATAACACTTATTTCAAAATAGCAGTAGTGTGGACGCTCCACTGCTGCTATTTCGAAATAACTATTCCCCAGAGTTATTCAAAGTAATTATTCCCCAGTGCTTCCTGGGGCTCTAAGTCAAGGTAGCATGTCCACATTAAGGGAGACTGCCTCAGACTAATTTGGAGGCTTCCCTGTAGTGTAGATATGCTATTTCAAAATAGTTATTTCGGGAGTTATTATTTCAAAATAAATTATTTTGAAATAATTTCCTAGAGTAGACATGCCCTAAGAATTTAAAAGATAAGAAGCAATTTTCTCAATGAACCAAACATAGAATGTATTTGAAAATGAAGCTTTTTGTCATATTGGTTAGTCATTTCATAATCACTGCCACAATTACTTACAAGATCTGGGGCCCAATCCTCTAACTCCTTTCAGTTGTAGGATTGAGCCCTGGGATTTTAAATAAGGAACAAATGACAACTGATTTAGAATCTCTTCTAGTATAAATTGGCATAGCATTGACTTCAGTGGAACTACAATGATTTATACTAAATGAGAAGCATCAAAGCATCTGTCTGGTACAGTTGGCTGGAAACCACAAAAGGAACCTCATTAGATGAAGTTAGTGGATAGCTGAAATACGAGCAGCACAATGCATTAGTTATAAAGAAGCATGAAAAGAACTGGGATTAGGAGGATGCATCATATAATTTGTATAATACAAAGAAATAAGAATTATATTTCTGAACTGGAAAAATGAAGTGCATATGTTGGAAATAGGAACCATTGAACCACGTCACCACTAATCACTTCCCCTCCCCAACTGTAGTATTTTAATATAATTATCTGAAAAGCTCTGAATTCTCAAAAAGTTTAAAAGTAATTAATAGTTTAGATTGGAAATCTGATAAACAATAATTGATAATAATTAAGTCTGAATAAAGGATATGTATGAGCCAGTGTATTACTATCTCTTAAATATAACAAAGTTCTGGAAAGGTTCCCAAGCTGAAAAGTAAAAGTAAGATTAAACCAGAGGTGCCCCCAAGCTGCAGTCAGCCAGGAAGAAGTGACAGAATGGCCTAAAGACAGCTGATAGATGTCCAAATCAATTGGTGAATCTTTGCAAGCCCTCTGGTCCCAGATCTACCCTGACCCAGTCACTTATCAGTCTCCTGAGTAATTTCACTGCTGAAAAATGGAATTCCCCTCCCCCGAGAGTAGATATCTTTATTCTGCTGAGATGAGGTATGAAAGAACAAGATCTATAAGTGGAGAGGGGACAGAACAAGGGCACGAAAGGAAGAAGGCAGAGGAGACAAAGAAATAGGGAAAAATACGCGAAAGCATGAAGAGGGACACAGAACAAAGGAGGAAGATGGAAGGCAGAGAAAGGGAAGGAGAATCTAAAAAGGTTCTGTGAGGGGGGGAAAAGCATCATGTCTCCTGCACACTACACTCTTCTAAGAAAGATACCTTAATTGATATAATTGTGCACCTTTGGATTAAGCATATAGTTAAAGACAAGATTAATGTCTCATTAAGATATCCATCTTGTCATCACAACAAAAAATTGCAGAACTGCAGTCATCAAATTAAAAGGAGGGAGTAAGCACAAAATAAATCAGCATCCAAACTTACCTTATACAACATTTTATACTTCAGAAGCATGTAGTGTCAAGATATTTAAACGCATTTTTAAAGCCTTCATTTGCTGCATGCAAACATTACCACACACTTATGTGTGCATGTAAATTCCACACCTTTGTATGCAAACCAGAGAAACAGAAAACTAACAACCCAATCTACATACAAATGTAGTTGTGTGTATCAACTAAACCCATACCAAAATAGGTTTAGTATTAATGAAACAGATGCGAAAATGTTTTATTTATACTTTTTGGGCCAAGTTACTGTGAATGGAAAATATTTATTTGTGAGACTATATGGCTACGTCTAGACTACAAGCCTTTTTCGAAAGAGAGTGTCTAGACTACAAGCAGATTTTTTGAAAAAGCGAGCCACTTTTTCAAAAGAGAGTCTAGACGCTCTCTTTCGAAAAGCATAGTTTGCATTCAATAGCGCCTTTTTTCAAAAGAGTACTTTCAAAAAAGGCACTGTTCCTCATAAAATGAGGTTTACTGTGATTGAAAAAACTGCCACAGTCTTTCCATTTACTTTAGAAAGAACACAGATGCAGTCTAGATGCAGGTGAAGTTTTTTTTCGAAAAAATGCTACTTTTTTCAAAAAACAAAAAACCTGTAGTCTAGATACACCCTCTGAATGGCTGTATAGATCAGATCCAGTACTTGCACTTTTAGATCATAGGGCATATGTTAAGAAGAAAAAAGTTCTAGACAATATTCTTAAAGGCCTGTTAAGTAGGATGTGCACTTTTGTAGACCATATGCTGTAACTATCATTTTCTTATTACGCTTTCCAGTGAAAGACTATATGAAAGCTAGACTACACTTTGAGAGAATTTCAGTTGTAGCAATCAGTTTAGAATACCTATCACTAAAGATAAATTTCCTCTATATTCCAATTAGAAATTTGGAAGTACTATAATGTGAGCCTATTTTATTCCTTTTTCTATAGAGGAAGGTATGATGATCCCACTTAAATTCTGTTGTCTACACACATGGAACTCAGCATCATGCATATGAAATATACATAAGGTATATTTTAGTCAAATTTAATAACCTGTGTGCAACAAATGGATCTACTGAAGATAGTTTGAGACAACACAAATAGGATGATGAATAAAGAGATTTACACAAATGTGTGACTTTTACAGCTGAATAGAAAATATAGGATCTAGGCAGTTCTGTCAGAGGGGCAGTAACTAAAGATGATACTCAAAACAGAGACAATAGCATTTGAGAAAATATCCATGCTAATTTAGACTTCTCTCTATAGTGCTTTTCAGATCTAGATATTTTCCCATATAATTGCAAAACATGTTTTCTAATTACATTATTATTTAATTAGTTAATTAATAATTCTAGCCAGGCTTTGCTTTTAGGGCATTCATTTTGTGTCATACAATAATTATAGATAATTAAGTAATTTCAAGCCTTTTTTTCTAGCAAAATATGCTAGATATCCAAAAACAACAAATTGTAAATTAATCTGGAAAACAAAGCATGGCAGACGAAGGATTTGGTTAGAATTCATTAAGCACTAATTATATATTGGAAATGGAGAAACAATAAGCCTACATTCATTTCTGAAAACATGCGTGTGTTTACTCAAATGCTTACCTCGTGAATTGATAAAGTTTTCTTTTAACCAATGTTCTGCCCTTAAGCAGTCTTCGTCATCAGAGAAATTAAAGAGATTGGTAGGAACAACACCAGTATATCTTTGTTTACAACCATTTATGACTTCCCTGTTAGTCAAAAGTTTACTGATCTCTACTCCAGTGGGACACGGAACCTGACAAAAATATGAAGTGCGCATAATTGATAACGGTTAAGTATTAATGAAGACTCTGAATAGCAATGACACAAAGTATATGATCATATAAGACTTGCTTGCCTTGTAAATCTGATTGCTTTGGGACATACGAATTGTAAGTGTAAATCAACAAGCCACTGGTCATAAAGAGAACAGATGAGAGTTAATGTATCTAATTTTCTGTTCCTTACAGGATCTGTGACACCACGGAGGATTTTAAAGAAACAACAAGGATTAACGATGTTTTGATATGTGTATATGAATGCACATACATGCAATGCAGTACCCATCATATGCTTGCTTACATTTATCTTCAAACCTAGTTAATTAAAAACCGAAATGACAAAAAAAATCCAATTTTGTGCTTTACAGGAACTATCTTTTACCAAAATTGCTCTTGGCTCCTATCTTGGGACATGATGTTCATGCTTTGCCCTGCTCTGGCTGGACACAGCAGCTGGACACTGAGGGTTAGGCCCCCACAGAGGATTTTCCCACTGTAGGAGAATCCTAAGAATCAGTGCAATTCCAAGCCATCCCTATCCTTACATCCAGCACAGGAAGCATGGCTCAGAGAAGATGTATCTTGGGTGTTGCTACATCCTGATTATCCCAAATGCCAAAACAATTTCTTGATGCTGGGGACAGCTGGATATAAATTAGTGCCAGAGTCTAAATCAGTGTCAGTATGCCCATCCTCCTTTCACTGTTCTTGCACAAGAGCTCAGATGAACAACAGGATCTTGGCCATTGCTTAAAACAATATTTTCAAAAATACCTGTTGGAACACTGAAAGGCTGTGTCTACACTGCACCCCTTTTCCGGAAAAGGGATGCAGATTAGACACTTCGGAATTGCAAATCCGCGGGGGATTTAAATATCCCCCGCGGCATTTGCATTTACATGGCTGCCGCTTTTTTCAGGCTTGGGGATAAGCCGGAGAAAAGCGCTAGTCTAGACGTGATTCTCCGGAAAATAAGCCCTTTTCTGGAGGATCTCTTATTCCTACTTGGCGTCTAGACTGGCGCTTTTCTCCGGCTTATCCCCAAGCCAGAAAAAAGCGGCAGCCATGTAAATGCAAATGCCGCGGGGGATATTTAAATCCCCCGCGGATTTGCAATTCTGACTCGTCTCATTAGCATCTCTTTTCCGGAAAGGGGTGCCAATGTAGACGTAGCCAAAGGGTTTCACCAGAAAAACTGCATAGCCATAGGCTATTTGTAACTATCACTTCTGTGGAAACATTCTGCTAAACAACAGAATTGTTGGCAATGGTATAATACTGTGCCTCCCTTCATGGTTATTGCTTTTTGTAATGAGTTAGGGACAATGATCAGTATGCAAAGCATCACAGACAGTCTTCATAAATGAGAGAAAGAAGAATGTTAAAATGTTCCACAAGAATCCCACAATTGCAAATGAACAGCCGCAGGGAGGTAAAAGTAAAGATGATCAAGAATGGCTTGGGGAAAATAGAATTTGTGTCCCATGTCACCCTGTTCAAACCAGATGTGCTCTGATGATCCAGAAACAGACAATGACAGGAACTGGCTTTAGGGGAAATCCACAGTTGTCGAAATCTCGCAACTCTTAGTAAGTGTCCATTTTAAATAGTTATTAAGAAGTGAACATAAAAACTGATAACAAAAATGTGAATAATGTACACACCAAAAGGGACAACTGGATACTAGAAATATATAATTATGCAGAAGTTTCTTTGTAACTATTTGTTTAATACACAGTTAGGAATTTTCACAATCAAAATCACAAGCTTTTTTTTCTTTTCACAGCAAACTAAAACTAAAATTGGAGTAATTCTGCACAAGAGACAATGCTACATTTTTTTTCTGGGAAGATAAGATAACAATTATATGAAAGTTTGAATGATATAACATTACTATTGAAGTAACCAATTAGACCATTATTTTATTGAAGAAAGAAAGAGCAAATTGACTACGATTATGCGGCACTGGGGAAGAACAGTCCAGAACATTGCTGTAACTGGCCACTTGTCTTGACTGAGATGTTATCTAGACACATAAAACACACATATGCCATCAACATTTCTTATTTATCCAATAAGAAAATATTCTGCCGCTCTCATTAATACTGAATAGAGTCTTAGTCGGTAGTTCTATTGAAACTATCTGAACTACTCACCCAGTAAGATATAAATTATTGAAGGCAAAAATCTAGCTCTTACATAAATGAAATAGAAATCAGATGATAAAATACTTCTCTCTAGCTTCTGTACATTTAAAAAAATGAGCTTTTTATCAGCAAAATTCCTCTTTCCCATATTTTTCTCTCTCCTTCCACTTAGCTACGGTCCTCATCAAGCTTTGCAGCTGTTAGGGTGCTTTCCAAAGATTTCTTTCACATTTTATAAGCTGGAATGGGAGATCCAGATAAATTCAGGCTGCATTTTAGTTTAACTTTTTAGTCCATCTGTCAGACTGTGAATATATTTAGTGGTTCAAAGTGATGTTCTATTCAGGAAAGCAATGATGTAAAAATGGTACTTTTTTAACTTAAGAGCTCTGTTCCTAATTCGGCAGTCCTTACTCAAACAACATTCTCAGGGAATTCAATAACTATCGACTATTAAGGACTGATAAGAAAAAATGGTTACGTACCTTCTTGTAACTGTTGTTCTTCAAGATGTGTTGTTCGTGTCTATTCCAATTAGGTATCTACACATGCCCATGCATGGTGACCGGAAGATTTTTCCATAGCAGTGCTCGTAGGGTCAGTCTGTGTTCCCTCTGGAGTCACGCCTTCATGGTGCCCAATATAGCACCCTGCCAAACCTTTGCCCTCCTCAATTCCTTCTTGCCAGTTACTCCAACAGATGGGAAGGAGGGTAGGTATTGGAATAGACATGAACAACATATCTCAAAGAACAACAGTTACAAAAAAATAGATATTTTTTTTCTTCTTTGAGTGCCTGTTTGTGTGTATTCCAATTAGTTGATTCACAAGCAGAAGGTTAGGAGGTAGGGCCGGAGCCAACCACTGATTGCAACATTGCTCATCCAAATGAAGCGTCATCCCTGACTTGCTGAGCACTCACGTAATGCGAGGTGAAGGTATGGATCAAGGACCACATAGCGGTTCTACAGATTTTGTGAGTGGGGACCTGGGCCAGAAAGGCAGTAGAAGAAGCCAGTGCCCTGGTGGAATGTGCTCTGAGCAAAGGGGCAGGAATACCTGATTGTATGTAGTATTCTCAATACAGGACATAATCCATGATGAGACACACTGGATAGACATCAGCTGGTCCTTCATCTGATCTGCAACTGCCATGACTAGCTGGACCAATTTATGGAATGGTTTAGTTCTCTCAATGTAGAAGGCCAGGGCCCTCTGGACATCGAGGGAGTGTAGTTTCTGTTCCCTGGCAGTAGAGTGGGACTTGGGATAGAACACTGGGAGCAAAACGTCCTGGTTCAGGTGAAACTGACACTATGTGCAATAAAAAAGCTGGGTGATGTCTGAACTGAACGGACTTTGTGCTTAAAAGAACATGTTGTAGGATGTTCTGATGTCAGGGCCTTCAGTTCAGGCACTCTCCTGGCTGAAGTTATGGCTACCAAGAAAGCCACCTTATAGGAGAGGTATAAAAGCAAACAGTTTGATAAAGGTTCAAAGGATGAGCCTATGAATCTAGAAAGGACTAAGGACCCAAGTTGGGATAAGTCGGCATTTATGCGGATAAAGTCTATCCAGACCTTTCACAAATGTATCATTCTGAGCCAGGATGACCAAAGATCTATACTGGACAATGCAGCAGACGAGAATGATCTTTTGGGACAAAACACGTAAAGTGGATTTCCTGGGAGATATCTAGGGGGAATGAAAATTCCACCCCCACCTTCAGTTATACAAAAGCCCAGCCCACTGAAAATACACCATGAGGACAGGATGACTGTCTGCTGATCACCTGTTCCAGGGGTGCCAAGATCAAAGGCACAAATTTATAAAGAAGGGACTCTCAAGATTTATGGGGTGATTGTTCTGAGATGAAGCTATTATGACTTTGTGATCACTGCTTAGTGGGGTCTGAAGAATTGATCACCTGCCAAAGTCCTTGCTGGCACTGGGATTGATCTCAGGTAAGCTTAGTAGCATGCCTGTACATTGTGGGTTTTTTTAAATCACTTTTCTCTGTAATGCTTAATGTCCTTGCTTAAGAAGAGCTGTGAAGTAACTTAACTGTAGATAATTATGCTATTTACAGCCTCTCAGGAGAACACAACATGCACACACTGGCCATTTGGGCCACCAGGCTTGTAACTCATAGTGTAGTCAGGGAACTGTGAAGTCTGAAGACCCTCGGGCAAGGAGAGAGATGCAGGTCTCCATCCAAGAGATATGTCTGCTGAAGAGCTGAGAATCTAAAATAACAACACTTACTGAGCCATCGGGGAAAATACAGATGCAGGTGCCCTGAACCGTGACATTCTCCACAAAGCATATTAATGGTTAATCACTGTAAACATTAAGCATTCATTTTTCCACTGTGTACGCAATCTTACCTGGTACTGCTGCCCAGTACAGAGAACAAGGTGATCATATGGAACTTTTTTTCCCTTGGAAACCACAACATGTTTGGCAGCTCGGTCTATGCCAGTCATTTTACCAACCACAACATTAACCCAGGAACAAAGTGACATCAGTGCATAATCTTTATCATTAAAACAGTGGCTGTGAAGAAAGAATATCCATAAGTGACATTTTAGCAGCTGACAGCAGGCATTAATTAGACATCTGGCGAGTTGGTTGAAGTCCCCTAGTGGTTCAAGTCTGTTGTCTTGCTGTGAGCTTACTAAAGTCTATAGTGAGAGGTTATTCATTATGAAACACTCAGTTACAAATGGACAACTTTCTGTTAAAACCAGATAATTCCTCCCAGCATTAAGCCACACTATAACAGTGTTTAAACACGTCAGAAATATATACTTTGCTATAAATTTGCAGTCTGATGCACAGTGCAGACTTTTGTACCTGTAAATGAAATGTTTTTTCTTACCTGATAATTTCCTCCCTTTGGCTGTCTCTACAAAATGCTCTTTTGCTAAAATAATCACACCTTTGCTACCACTGGTTCAGCTCCGCCAGTCACAGCGATAGTGAGATCACTGACATAAACCAGCACCACTATTATAACTACTGTGTTACATAGTCTGACTCTGACAGTGTTTAAAACTACAAAGGCAGTGTTTAGATCTGTTGGTAAAGGGCAGAGATATTATCAGATCTGCTCTCCTGTTTTCCCCTCTCTAGATGAGCTCTTTCAAAATGGCAAGGAGGAAGAATATTGTAATGACTTTAAAGAAACCTTGAAAATGCTGTATGAAGCAACTGAAGAGAAGCCATTCACAGAAAGGAGAGAGATTATCATTTGTCTATGTGAAAGAAATTAGCAAGCAAATGAAAATCTCTCTCTCTCTCTCGCAAGCATGTGTCTGATAATCCTTATAAACAGAGGGACTGACTGACGAGCAATTCATTCCTTATCATAGAATCATAGAGCTGGAAGAGACCTCAGGAGGTCATCAAGTCCAGCCCCCTGCTCAAAGCAGGACCATGAGAAGAGGAACTTTGAAATTTATATATAATCAACAAGCAACAGTTTAAGGGTAATTATGTTATAAACAAAGCCCTCTTCCATTTAGCAACTGCAGCCACAAAGGTCTTTTCTTCCCCTGTATGTTTGGTGGCAAGCAATTAAAGACGCTTCACATTACTTAGCTATTTTGTTCAGACAGATGCACTACTTCTAACTCTTAGCAAATGTCATTTATTTATTTATGTATTTATTTTAAGTCTCATAAAGACTGATGGTCCAATGACTCTGTGAATGACAAAGCTCATGCTTTCAGTAGAATTTTAAAAAGCACCAAAGTTATGTTTTTAAAAGTGAATTAGGAACTCTGGGACAGACATTTAAAGGTATTTAGGCACTTAAGGCTATAGATAAATATTAATGGGATTTTTAAAAGCACCTAAGCAGGTTAAGCACCTAACTCCCTTTGAAAATCTGGCCCTTAGGAGCCTGAGGGCTTGTCAACACTACAGGAGAGGGGGGGTTGATCAACACTGCAGTGATCGATCTACCAATGGTAGATTTAACGAGTCCAGTAAAGACCCATTAAATCAATGGCTGATCACTCTCTTGTTGACTTCTGTACTTAAGCAAAATGGGAAGAGAAGGAGGAATTGATAGGAGAGTTGTTTCTGTGAACCTCCCACAGTGTAGATGCTGGGATAAACAGATCAAAGCTATGTCAATTTGAATTGCACTAACATAACTCAAATTGAGTAGCTTAGCTTGAGCTTCAGAGGGATAGCCGAGTTAGTTTGTAACAGGAAAAACTTTTTAAAAAAACCCAATAGACCAGGTGACCACTTCACTTCTTCATCTGAAGAATTGGACTGTGCCCACAAAAGCTCATGATACCATCTACATGTTTTGTTCGTCTTTAAGGTGCTACCAGTCTATTGTTTTTTTAAGTTTTAGCTTGAGCTGTTCATGTGGTGTCGATTTGCCCTTAGTTTTAATGAGAGTGAATGAGATAAAACCTAGGATTCTTTTGAAAATGGAACTTCTGTGTCACAGAAGACATTTTTATTTTTGAAGATGGGAGAATCACAACAAACCTTCATTTGAGCAGGCAGGTTGCTTAGGTCTTATAAATGTGGTTCTCCTCATAGGGACACAACATTCTTTGTGTCATAATGACTCCCCATCGTTTTGCTTATTTTACTTATTGTTTGTACCTAGCAGCAAGACATACAAACTCACTCTGGGTTCTGAATGTGAAGCTGGTTCTTTCTGGCTCACACACTACCTCAGTAATTCAAATTTTGTAGGTCAACTGGTATCCTCAGTTATCCCTGTGTAACACTCCAGCTTTTAATGTTGTTACAAAAGTATAATGGTATAAAGGTGATAAGCTTGATTAAGATGTTCAAAAGTTATCTGTGATTTTGATTGCCTCAATTTTTGATGTCCAAGTTAGACACCTTTAATGAGTCTGACTTTCAAGTGATTGGGTTCCATGTATTTTCTGAAAATACAACCCTTTTAAAGTGTTTCAAGTTAGGCACACAAAATCAGTGTCTGCTTTTGAAAATATCAGCCACCAAGTCATAGACCTTTTAACATCAAGTTTGTGAACTAAGGTCTTGCTGGAATGAGGAAATATACATCAGAAAATGTTGGCATGATAGTTTGCCTGATTAAGGTAGAACTCAGAGGCCACATTTAAAAAGAACCTAGGATGAATCTGTAGCACTACTTTACCCTTGTGGGCCAATAATTCAAGCCTGCAACTCATTCATTCTGTGAACTGATGTCACTGCCACCAGGAAGAGAATATTCCATTTAGCAAACAAAGCTCATCAGCAAGGAATAATAGCTCAAGAACAATGTTATCTTTTATTTTTGTGGATAGTGGTAAAAGGCCCAATATAAATCCAATTAGAATTATTTCACTGACTTCTGTGAGCTATGGATCAGGTCCCAAACACAGCTTGACTAAAATATGGGGACTACAGATTCTTTTGTTTCATAAACAACAAAGAAAGTTGAAAAGGAACAAAGAATTAACCGCTATTACTACATGTACCAACACTGTCATGTTTAATATTCAAATAAAATATTGCATTGATATTTGTATGTATAAATATCCATATTCAAAAATAACAACCAGCCATTAATGACTATTAATTATTATTATTATTGTTACGTATCCAGAAATGGGATTCATGCTTCACATGAAGAAGCAAATGTGCTTCAATGCCTCGATGAGTTCTGTGATCTAATGTCCAAATTTGGCAAGCTAATCAGCGCCCACAGCTACCATTTACCTTGATAAAAGGTTTGAATGGTCAATGCTTTTGAAAATCTGGCCATAAGTTCAGATAGGACATACATAAAATGATGAAGGAAAGAGGAAGGGCTTTCCATAAAGTGAATAATAAGGAGGGGTAGGATTTGGAAAAGCACCTGTGATTTACAAGCACAAATTGCATTGACAGTTTATGAAACTTGTGCTCCTAAACCACTTAGGAGCTTTTGCAAATCCCAAAGATAGCTTTTATTTTCAGCTATTCATCAACTGATTCATATCTATTATGGATGTATTTTTAAATTAAATGACTTGCTCTGGTTAGATAGTTACAAACTACAATTTTCTATAAATGTACATATTTTGTAAATGTCACTGAAAATATCTGTTTAAATTTGAACATATATATAAGAATGTGGTTTATTTATTACACGCAACTCTTTTTGCTTTCATCTTGGCCTATTAGTTGGGTTGGCACGCAGCACTGATATCCTACCTCAATTCAAAGACCCAAAGTGTTGGCTACATTTATGGGAGTGCTTAGGGTATCTGCATGCCCTAGTGAAAGGCAGCTGCATCCACACACAAGCATGGCAAGATGTGCAGCAGTGAAAGGCTCTGGCAGGGAATGACAGCAGGAAAGAGTCTGTTAATGGAAGTCCTTCTGGCAAGAGGTAAAAATGACCAATACACCTCAGGATGTTCTGAACTCCATGGAAAACTAAACCTCTGTGACCTGGCTTTCCATCACTTATAGACAGAGATACACCTACCCACAAAGTGTGGTTGTTCAGGAGACAGCATGTGAAAAAGCACATCTGTGAGCTGGGCAGGATCCCAACCTGGAGAGTTTTTCTGATTATGTTAACATTATTTTAGTTTCTTATTATAACACTAAGACTAGAAGAAAGTACACATTACTATACATATATGTGCTGAGTTGTACCAAAAATACACAAAAAATTCACAAGTATTGCATTTTCCTTTGAAACTAGCAAAACATTTAAAAATTAAATCAAACCTGTCAATTAGAAATCCTCTGTGCTTAGAGCCTGGTGGATTTTGTCCTGGAAGCCCGTGAGTTGAAATCAGGGTCAGATTGTTAAACTTCAGGTGTGGACTATAGAAAGAAAAACAAAATACAATACATGAGATCACTGAAGTTCAGTTATGTATACTTGTAATTTGATTGTGCTTAAAATACTGTTATAATTAGTTTTTACATCCAATAGGGTTTCCCAATCTTCTCTTGAGAAGTTTGTTTTAGCTGTATGGAATCCAGCACAATGGGGCCCTAAACCTGATCCGGGATCTCTGGGCTTCATCATGCTACAGAGCTATATGGCATAAATTACCTCGGTCACTACTTAACTTGAAAGCCATCTTGGAGCTAGACTGAGCCTTTGTTCAATGACTTGAATATCAAGAAGCATGTACTGATGCTGCCCCAGAAGTGAGCCATGGCACGAACTGTTACTCAGACCATGGCTTTCAAATTATGTTGTTAGAAAATGATCTTGAGTAGTAGCAGTGAACACAGTATTCAACATGATTAAGAACTCTGAGAAGATGAGGACTGTTGTATTTGGCATAGCATCAGCACTGGCTCTAAGAGGGGTCATGACATTAAATACAACAGTTCTAGTCAACCACCGGTGTTAATACCATACCAGTCACCACAGCTTCTCTAATTAACGGTTCCACCAACATGACTTAATTTTCTGGGGAAAACAAAGCTCTCTAGAAGTGGAATATCTTCTCTGCTCCCCCATCCTCTTGGACAGTTGTACATGTTATCCTTCTACTTGGTGCAGAATGTTTTCTGTCGTGCCAGGTCAGTTTTGCCTAGCACAGTGGTTCCCAAACTTTTTGGCATCATGCCCTCTTTTTGATTTTTGAGAAACCTCATGCCCCCACTCCCAAAAAAAATAGCAGCAAAACTTAGGGTGGGATTGACGGGTGCATGCGGGGCTGGGTCGCTTCATGCCCCCCCTGGAATTTCTTCACACACCCCCAGTTTGGGAACCCATGGCCTAGTACTATGCAGGGGTTGCAGCTGAGGCCTTGTCCATTCCCTGCCCATCTTCTCAGGCATGAAGTTCCTGTTCTTCCCCTCACATGTGAACCCAAGTTTTGGGGAGGACATGCTAGTAAGTAAAGTGGATCTTACACCCCTTTAATCTCTAATTCTAATCCTGTGATAAGCATAAGGCACAAGTGATTTTTTTCACAAGCAGGACCTAGCTGACATTCTCGCATAAGCCCCTCAAGCAGACCCTTCGGAGGAATAACATGAAAAATAAATAGTTGTTCATTGCTGACAGACTGACATGGTAGAAGGAAGACCCTTATATTATCCTCAAAAAGGAGTTCAAACAGTTATATCTATTTCTGTGATAAACACAGGGCTCATCACACCCATGCAAAGTTAGGACAGTGCAAACAAAGAAAGCAAAGCAGAAATAAGGCCTCCTGTTTCAGCAGAATATTAACTCTAAGCACACATTCAACTGCCACTAATTTCAAATGCTTTACTGAATAGGAATGGATTTAGATGTGTACTTCAGTGGTTTGCAGAATGGGAGCCAAAGTACATATTCAGACACACTGCATAGTGGAAACACACAGCCGCTCAGCTGATCAGTATCTGTGGACAGCTACAATTACTGCTTTCATGTGGCTTGTTAGATACATGCTAGGAAAAGGACAGAGCCTTAGCAACAGTGTGCAAGTTATGCCTAGAGCAGGGTCTCACATCTGCTGAGCATTGTCCAATATAGGATCTAGTGTTTTCATGAGTAACTAGTTCCTTCTAACATGCTAGCACATGACATGTGACAAAGGCAGGAAGCAGTCCTGCGGGTACGACTGGAGAAATCACAACTCTGTCAGTGCTGTTGTGGCTCAGCTTCCAAAGGAAGATACCTGGCCAGTGAGGCCACTGGAGTATGAGCGAGCCCCCTGGCCTACAATACTCTAGATGCCTCTTGTAATAGATTCCTGGCAATGAGAAGGGTATACCCACTTGCTGTAATGGATTTCCTGGAACTAGGAGGGTACATCACTGGAACAGCAGAGTTTTCAATGCCATCGCTAGTAGCGATGTTAAATGTCAGTTAACTGAATAGTTGAGGAACCTCAGGAATTTTTATTGGTTACTCCACTATTCTATAATACCCAGAGGCAGGGGCAGGACCAGCAGCCAGCCCGCTCCAGCTCCACTCCTGAGGAGCCCCCTGCCATCAGAGGCAGCAGAGCAGGGTGCCAGGTGGGAGCTGGTCCCTCTGGAGGAGCCCCCTGCCACTCCGCAGTGCTGCGTCTGTATCAGAGGCAGCAGCGTGGGGTGCCAGGCAGGAGCTGGTCTGCAAGGGGAGCCAGTTTAAAAACCAAGTCCCCTCATGGAACCCGGCACAAGCTGGAACTGAGCCGGGCTGCCTGCCCTCCCAGCTCCTAATACACTTTAAATGCAGAGCCGCAGCAGGGGTAGGTCCCAGACTCGTTACAAACCAGGACTGAGATGAGCTGCTGGCCAGCCCGCTAAAAAATGTACTGACAAGGGTAGGGGGAGGGGGAATGTGTGTAGTCTGCATCACCCAGCAGGGTGCAAATAGCAATTCATTTGTGTGGGCCAGGGTCTAAGCACCAGTTTCTGCCATTTTCTCAATTGCATGTGATTTTTAGTGCATATCAAGAGAATTTGTCCCACTGCATTTTGATTAGCAAAATGGGCTCTGACTATATTAAACTAAACTGGATCTGACATTTAAAAACAAATAAATATTATGAATGATTAAGCCTTATAATCTCCAAGGTTTTATGCAACTTAAATATGGATAGATATAAGTGGTACAAGGAAATGGTATGCGTTTTTATCTACTAATGTTAATTTGTTATTCATACATTTTAAAAAATATATTCAAACAAAGTGAAAGGTCATACTTAAACCAAGGAATTTCAAGGTTATGGCAACCACTCTATAAATGCATATTAATAGTTTAATTCTGGATTATGGATTATCTGCAATAAATCTCCATGCATACTTTGGGCATAATGTAATAAATAACCTGAATTTAACACAGTGCATATATTTATACAGATTATGGGCCTGATTTTCATTTATACTAAAGCCATTTTACACAGCAGTGCAAAAGATCCTTAAAGTGTGTATCAATATAATTTTCTCCCACTTTAAGTCTGCTTTATACTCACATAGAGTGTTGCAAAGTAGCTTTATTGTAAATGAAAAATCAAACACAATCAATTAGTTTGCATTTTAAAAACATACAATACATCATCTGCATTTGGAGCTGCTACCGTGGGTTTGAGTGTGAATGAATACAATTAATCATAAAGATCCATAACATTCAGATACTTTGCAATGTACATACAGTTATCAAGACAGTAACTGGAAAATGATATACAAATTACTTATATTTCAGTGTATAAATCTGTCCCTCTGCCACCTTCATACATCACTTGTTATCCTTTATTATAAGCACTTTGTGGCAAGGACCATTTCTTCATGGCTTCTGTACAGTGCCCAGTACAATGGGGGCTTCAATATTAATGCTACTGTAATGGACATACTAAATAACATTAAAAGAACTATGTTAAAATAACATAAAGGATGCAAAGTCAGGCATTCAATTGGTAGGAAATGACAGTTTTAAGGTTGCTTGTGAAACCTTAATTTTCCTGCCCACAAAAATCCTACCCATTCAGTAAATGAGTAGTTATTTAATATTTATTTTTATCCTCCCTGTGTGCCCCCAGATGCTATTATCATTTCCCACACTGCACCGAATAAAATATTAATTTCCTCATCCACATTTCTATGATGTTCTAACTATCACATCCAAGTACTTCACAAACATTGCTTTTATCTTTGCAATACCTCTCAGAGATTGGGTGATATTTTTATCCCCGTTTTACAAATGGGGAACTGAAGCACAGAGAGAGATTAAGGCCAAAATTGTCAAAAATGTTCACTAATTTTGGTGCCCAATTGGAGACACAGAAGTTTTCATTGTGCTTTTAGATAGCATTTTTATAGCACTTAATATGTGAAAAGCAGAGCTCCAGATGAGTTTGGCTGCATGTGTCAGTGCTCAGCACTGCTGCAAATCTGTGCCCAGGTATCTAATATTGGGCAACTGTGAACATTTGGTTTAAGTAACTTGCCTAGCATCACACATAGACTCTGTGGCAGAGACTGGGATAGAATCAGTTCTCCAGGGTAGCATTCAACTTAATTGTGAAACTGTCATCCTCTTCTGGTAATCTAGTCACACTCAGATGTGAGCAGCTGGAGCTTACTCGATACAAATCGAATCTTCAGAGATTCTAACTTCCAGATTCAAACAAGCATTTGGAAATTGAGATTTTTACAAAGGTTCAGCTGCCTTTGGGCCATTCCCCTGCTCCAGCCAGCTCCAGGAACATTGTGGGGGGACGATCAAGCTCTAGTTCCTCTTGTTGTCCTCTGGAATGCTGCTCAGATAGTCCACAGGGCCACTCACATTGGCTGCTGCTCAGGTGGTTACCAGGGCCAGCTGCCTGAGGCTCCCCAAACAGCAGCCATTGTGGCTGGTCCAGGACAGAGCCAGCAGTAACCTTGACATTTCAATAAAAAATGGGAACTGGAGACCAATCAACCTGATCCCACTATCTAGTAATGTGGTTGAAAGAATAATTAGGCCGAATTCTAAAACACCTAGAAGAACATGATACAAAAGAGATAAAGCAGCCTGCATTCTGCAAAGGAAAATTATGCTTCCTGAATTTATTAGAAATGTTTTAGCCCCTATAAAGTTATGGATTGCGTCAGAGTAAGTGTTGATTTTTGCTTGTTCAGGAGGCGACCGAGGGATTCGAATGTTTGTTCGACCGTTGCCACCATCCGCGACGCCTCTTGCTCCGTGGAATCTTTTATTAAGCAATTGTCCAGGTACGGGTATATTATCACCTGTAGCCGACGCAGATGAGCTGCTACGACAGCCAGGGTTTTCGAGAAAGCTCTGGGTGCTGAAGCACGACCGAATGGCAGAACCCGATACTGAAAATGATCGTGGCTTATCACAAATTGCAGAAAACGTCTGTGAGCGAGATGAATTGCGATGT